ACTCTATTCTATTCCACTTTTCCTGCCATTTTAACAACAGCAGGGGGCTCACGGGTCTGTTCCTGGCGTGAGCCAACGAAGCTCCAGGTTCAGACTAGGATATCGAAAGAGGACGCTCTTTCGACGTACCTGCCAATTGTTTAATCACTTCATTCGATTCATTTCAAGCTTGTTGAAACATTCTGTTGAACTGACCCAGCATTCTTACCGTTGCATCGAGTCAAGTGCTAAGTATTCATTGGCTACTGCAGCAACATAAAGGGCTAATGTTCACCCCGAATCTCTGAAGCCACGCTCCGCGGAGCACTCATCTTAAGTGTATTTGGAAAGGCAGCCTGTCGTGGTTGGTAAAACTGGATTCAGAAGTTCTGATGAACGGTGGCTATTTGAAGGTTACCTCGCTCATGATGGGCGGCACATCATGGACATCATGCCGGGGCTTGGACAAGTGTTCAAGGGCCCCGTTGTTCGCTTTGGAAACCAAAAGGCCTCACAGCCACCACCAAGGTTTCTGGACATATCATCACAGGAATTGGGGGGGTGCAACAGTGCCCAATACCCAGAGCCTCCAAGCAACAACAAAAAAGCACCTACATCAAGGGGTGCTGAAAAAGGGTATGTACCTTACTCTGTGAGATCACGTCACCACCCGAAAAGGAGCAAAAAAAAGCGCCCCCAGCTAGGACGCCCACCGGGCTGTGATGAGCTTCACTGGGGAGATCCCCAGCTTGACGCCCACCACTCGGCTCTGGTCTTATCGGCTGCTTGGTCTTATCGTTTTGGTCGGTGTTCGGAGATGCGGTCGCAATTCGATGCGGTCGGATGGGGAAGACCCGAATCTTCCGAACTGAAAAGTCTTTGGGGTGGTGAGGAAAAAAAAGGTGGAGGCGACAGAAGGTGGTGAATTTGATCGTGTCAAAGTTTAAGTTCATGGTTTACAGCAATTACACTGCGTGTTTCCTGTCAACAACCGCGGAGGTTGTTGGTTCCGTGATGAACCTTATAAACGACTAGCAGAAGACCCTTGTACAGGCAGTCTGTGATTGCTTAACAAAGGCCAGTCTCTCCTTTTGTGTTTGTTCCCATCGTGGCCATTCATTAACTGCTGGTCGGCTGCTTGAGAGACACACACACACAACACGACGCCATCGCCGGAACTCCGCCGGGGCGATGAGTGAGGCTGCAACGTGTTTTGGGCGGCCTTGAGATGTTGAAACTGCAAGGCCTCAAGATGAAGAAGCGGCGGCCATAGGGGAGGGACTCCCAGTGAAACCTTGTTACAAGGACCTTGGCTCCAAGAGGAAGCACACCTTAAGCCTTGACAGAGTTTTTGGGCAGACAATCCCTATACAAATCCAGCCGTACCTTCTCAGGTTAGGTGATGTGTTCGACACTGTTATGTAGGTGCCAAAACGTCCGGTCCAGTCGTGCCGAACCTTCGGTACGCCTGGATCCCAAACGGGTATGTGGGTGGGGCTGCAGGTTTGTTCACTCCTTGGAGGTGTTCGTTCAGTCCGTGTCCTTGGAGGTCTGCCCGCATGGCGTGTGGATCCTCACTTCAACCGCCCTAGATGTGTGTGTGTGCTTTACCCAGGCAATTTGTTTTCACTTAGGCTTCTTCGGAAAAATTCCGGGGCGATCCGTTCAGAACGCAAGCTCTTGTCTTGAGTGTGTGTGTCTCCATGTTAACTCTTGTGCGCCCCTGGAGGGAAGAAAGCAATCTTCGGACTCAAGATCCATGTGTATATATGTATATACACGCATACATACTGATTACATGATATCATAGTATGATTATCTATAGCATTATATAGCTAGACATCCAGCATCATTCAGCTAATCTATGAGCTTCCGCATGTCTCCTCTGGGGCTTTAATCCAATCCTTTCAAACATGCCACATCCGCACCTTCCCTTCGCCCGTCCCGTCCGCGCGTTTGCGGCGGTCTCCGCCAGGTTTCAAGCCCGAGACGTGGACCTTGGAGCCGCTGAGCGAAGCTTCGGTGTGCCGCGTGGCGGGCTCCGCCATGACGGTGCACATGTGCCTTGGACGTGGGACGTGCGTCGGTGTATGTCGCAAAAAGCGGGTGGTGTGTTCATGCTTACTTTGGTAGGCTCCATGTTTGAAGGGTCGGTTTTTTTTTGTGTTGTGTTGTTTTCCGGTTCATTTTGTTGTAGTGCTTCTGTCCTTTTACGTCTTTTGGCTTTGTGGACTCAATTCTTGGGAATTTGGACATTCATCCAGGCGAAGGATGAACCCACCAGTCACGCCATTCACATGTGTTTCTGAAAGCGCGGGTCCACTTAGTTGTAACAACGGCTCGTGTCCGAGTCCACCACAGCCTGCTTCAATTGTTTCCAGACTTCCAATGATCGGTGTTACCCCGACCTGGTAGTCATGATCCACCACTACCATGGTTGTAATATATGGTAAAATGCATCATGTTCCTGGACCTCTCAGGGATACTCTTCCAAACCTTGGGTGCCGAGTCACCCTCTGTTGGTGGAGAAGCTATGCCCCCGCCAGAAAAAAAGCGTTGAATGAAAGGTTGACCTGGTGGTCTAAAACATGATAAACCTTTTGTGTCAGACATGAGAATTATATATATAAGTCAATGGTGGGCCAGGAGTATAAGTTACCAAGGTATGGACGGCATGGAGAACTCCTCAACAGCTTCCGTTGATTCGTTGCCGGACTGGCTGAATTCCTTCGCAACGCTTAGGATCGCAGCCCTCCTTGCCTCCACCTTGAGCTGCTTCGACCAGAAGAAGCTGGTTTTGGGCAGATTGGGTCACCGATTTTAGGATCCCGAATGGGGTAAAGCCATGTCAATCAAAGAAAACGTTGGGTCAATCCATGTCAATCGCCTACTTTCTATCTTCTTCTTTGCCGGTTAGGAACCAGCAAATCCGCAAGAGAGAGTGTTGAACAGGATTTGAAGATCACTGACTGATGTCCTTTTTGTAGTTTTAGTTTTTAAGTGTGTTTTTTATCTTGAAACCGGCAGGTGCCGTGGATGCTGTTTCAATGATTCCTGTTCACTGTGTGTGTATGTGCGCTGTTTGAAAGTCAAAGATCCTGGGGAGATGCTGGGAGCACTTCTCAGCCCACGGATGTGCGGATGAAGGAAATGAAGATGGCTGGATCCTCACAGAATTGGGGGCGAACCTTCCCCCATTCCTTACTATAGGCACGAGGCTAACCATGTACCAATATGTGTGACAATATGTAACATATGCAGCATATGCATTTGAACGCATCTGACTCGAAACGGTCGTGAGCTGACTTTCCACACTGTACATGCATTTGACCCAACGGGACATCACCTTTTTGCGGGGGTGAAAGGAGCACCATGGAAACGGCATCAAACAGCACGCAAAGGGTGCTTTCGGAAGGTGAGTGGGTCAAAACATGTCAAACCCTATATAGGGATACTTGGAGTGCGTTTCAGGTAGATTGAAGTCCAACCATCAGTTATATAGTCTGTGTTTGTTCATGATTTGGTGCTCAACCAATGTGTTCGTCCGGTTTTGACACCCACAGCCATGATTGATGTTTCCCCAGATTTGCTTGGGTCCGTTTCCATGTGAGCACTGTTGGGCTGCTTAATCCGTTTGAGGCTGCACTCGCCTGCCCAAAGCAACCTCTTCCCGGTGTCCGGCGAAATCCCCCTCCACCGTGAGCCTGGCCGAACTGCGAAGCAGGCGCGGGACGGTTACCTTGTTGGGTTGATTGATCTAAACATGCAGGGCTGTCAGGTGAACAGCTGCAAACTTCTCTGTCGACATGCTCAGTTCACCTCTCTGAAAACAGAGACATGCGACATGCTCGGCGGTCGCCTGGGGATGCCAACTTCACCCATAATGTTAGCCTATATCACTTCAACTTACACACTCCAGTCGCTCCAATATCTATTTACCCTACCCATTGCCTTGCACATAAACCCCCACTGCCGTCTCTGCTCACTGATTCGCAACACGCCGCCGGCAAGCGCGCCTCACTTCCTGAGGGGTGCCCTTTTTCACCTCCAACTCCTCCCGGAACCAGAGCGAAAAAGGGCCCCCAGACCCTATGTCTTCTACTTTCCATTTCTACCGCTTATCGGTGTGGCTGCGATGTCAACTTCGCCCCATAACATTAATCGTTGCCCGATGTTACCCCATCGCTGCCTCTTGCACGCCAAGTCTTTGTCCGGGCCTACCCTGAGAGCACCCCCTAAGTCAGAGGCTGGCTTTCGTCCCCTCCCTTCTCAGGTATACGGTATAGCCTATCCTCTAAGCTCCTCCAATGTTGTTGTTGTTGTTGTTACATCGGTCGGCCGAGATGTCTCCGGCTCTGGGATGTTGTCCTCTTTTTCGTGCTCACCCTCCCAGACATCCATCGCCGCACGCGGCCCTCCGTGCCAGGTATGCGGCCATCCGCCAGCGGCTCAGCGGCCTTCGCCGCTGCGCAGCCTTGGGGGCCTGAGGGACCTGATCCGACGACCCAGCGGTGGCAGAAAAGGCGGTCAGACCGGTTGGCAGGAGGCCGTTTGGGGTCACAGACATGGTGTGTTCGTTTTTAGGACACAAAAGCATCATCATTGGGTGTATTTGCGATTTGTCTTGCAGTCTAGGGCGCTGAGAACGTGTTTCTCCCAGATTGAGCGAAAGGAACGTGTCAGGTGAATTGGGGGGTCCTGTGAATAGTTATTGGGTTGTGCTTTTGGAAGTCTCAAGGCCCATATAAGCCCACACTGAGACCCACGATGATTTGTTGCGCCTCCAGCGGATTTGGGTTCAACTTTCATCGAGCGCCTGAACTTCTGAACCCTCTTATTCGAACGGACGTTTGCTCGTCCAACCAGTTTGCTTTGGGTGTTCCCGTTCATCTCTGGGTCCCAACGGACGTTGAACTCTTCCCACTTCCGGAGCCCTAGGGCTCCAAGTGCTCGTTTAGAGCTTGACGTCCCTGGCGTCCCGCAGCCCAAGAAGCGACCCCCGGAGCCCGACGTCCTCAGAGGTCCATGGCCTTTACGAATGAAGCGCCGCCCGGCGAGCGGTGCCCGTTCGCGCTGCGTTCGCGCGGTTCGCGTGGCGATGGATGTGCAGATCCCAGGTGTCCAATTGAACAAGGAATGCTTAATTAAGACACTCCATGGATGGAATCATTGGGTTCAGGGGTCAAGGTAATGTAGTCCCTTGATTTATAAACCCCCCCCCCTCAACAACCCAGGCCTCCAAAATAATGTATATGAAAATCAATCAGTTGATAATTAAATAAGGAATCCTTAGCTAGCTACCTCTGGAGCTACTCTCGCAATATTAAATTAAAAGGAAATAAGAATTCCTAACTTTGAAGACATCTGGAATATTAATTACAATATAAAAGGGAATGAATCAATGGAAATAGAACTAACTGTTTAAATTTCAATGGAAATCTCCATCCAAAAGCCTCCAAAAGCATCAAATCTCAATGGAAATCGCCAAATTTTCAATGGAAATCTCCATCCAAAAGCATCAAACCTCAATGGAAATCTACAAAGTTTAAATAGAAATCTCCATCCAAAAGCCTCCAAAAGCATCAAATCTCAATGGAAATCTTCAAATGTTTAATGGAAATCTCCATCAAAAGGCATCCAATCCTCAAATCTCTAGACATTATTCTAGGGGCCCCCCCTAAATAATGTCAGAAAGCTGCTTGCTGGACTACCCCCTTTGCTTGAATGCAAATCAAAACGCAAAGAAAAGGAATACAGATTTAAAGCCTCAAATCTCTAGACATTATTCTAGGGCCCCCCCCCTAAATAATGTCAGAAAGCTGCTTGCTGGACTACCCCCTTTGCTTGAATG